TCTGTCTTATTCTGAGCCCTCCAAACTGTTCCAACCTCTGCCTGTTACCCAATTCCAAAGTCACTTCCACATTTTCAGGTATCTTTATATCAGCACCCAACTCCTGGTACCAATTAACTACATTAGTACATTCTCAGCCTGCTATGAAGAACTGCCTGAGGCTGAGTAATTTATTTAAAACAGAAGTTTAATTGACTCCCCGTTCCCCATAGATGGGAAAGCCTCATGAAACTTACAATCATAGCAGAAGGCGCTTCTTCACAGGGTGGCTGGAGAGAGAATGAGATGCTTATAAAACCATCAAATCTCATGAGAATTGACTCACTATCATGAGAACAGCATGGGGAAACTGTCCCCATGATTCAATTACCTTCACCTGTTCCCACCCTTGACATGTGGGTATTATGGGGATTATAATCAAGTTGATTTGGGCAGAGACACAGAGCCAAACCATATCAGCCCCCTTGGGGCCTCCTGAAAATCTTAAAAGAAGTTTAAGAATTTTTTCTCTCTTGTCTCACTGATTCTGTTATGTGGTCCATTCTCCTTCCTCACTGTCTCAGATAAGTAGAAAGACGCAGTAGAAGGTAGAAGCAATGGTTGGAGCATCCAGTCCTGCTCCTAGCTGGACATGAGATTTTAGGGTGCTACTCTGTCTCCCATGAGCTCTGGTTTTCCATCTATTAAATGAGAACATTGGGTTGTGTGATCCTGCTATCTCTTCCTATTCTTTAGTGCTGTGATATTTTTTAAGCATTACTTTCTCGGAGCCTAATTTTTCTTATCTATAAAAATGGGAAGAATGCCTACCTCATAAGGTGACTTGAAGGATTAGAAGATAGTAATCAAGTATTTCTTCCTATAAAGTCTATTTTGTTCCTGAATTTAGTTAGCAAGAATTCACAAAGCAAGTTGAGATAAAGAGTATAAAACTGTTTGAATCTATTTGAGTTCAATATTTTATATAGCAAGTGAATTTTGGGTAGTAACTATTCATTAAATGTTTTTAGTTCCTAGATATCTATGAAAGCAGCTTACATATAAGGCAACCTTCACTAAAGATTTACTCTTGTTTCCTTGACCCTGAGGCTAAAGACAACCTTGTTCAGCTTTGCAGCCCTGGCATCTAGCATAGTACCTCACAGTCAGGAGGTGCCCAGTGGATATTTGTGGCTTTCAGGAAAGTAATGAGACCCTGCTAAGCCTTTTCTGTAAAATATTCAATAATATCTATCCCCAATTGAGCTATTGTAAAGAATGGTCAAAAGATCAAATTCAAAAAAGGTAAAATCACAACTCTCATACAGATATAACATGAACAGACGTTAAAGACTTTTTATAGCTCATTTATCAATGAGAGAACCACAGTATTATAGCCACTTCAAAGGAAAATCCAAAATAAAGACACAAGCATAAATGAGAAATATTGAAATAGATATGTTAATGCAAGCAAAACTAGCTTCTTCCACAGTGGAGAAGGAAGTCAAATGAACCACACTATTGAACAGAAAAAAATTTCTACAGAGAAAAATTATTTTGCATTTCTAGCAGTTATTTACAATTTGCAGAGTTGTAAATTCTGTAGACTTCTTCCATAGAATAACTTCTGATAAGCAGAAGGGTGTACTAAATATAATATATAGTTTTCCATCGATGCACCAATTTTTCCCTAGTGAATAAATTAGATAATGCATGGAAATTGCTTAACTGGTACCTAGCTTATAGAGGATCTCCAATAGATGGGTACTTTATTAAGTTTTAACAATGGCATATGAGAGTGGTAGATTAAGTGTCTTCTAGGTATTTCATCAATTGAACAAGAATTGGAGAATGACTTATTCTACATTCCAACTTTGATCTTCATTCTCCCATGTAATTCAGGACTTTTTTCTTTCTTTTTCTTTCTCTCTCTCTCTCCTCTACCCTACCCCATCTCTTTTTAATTAGTTCTACTATGTTTTCTCACTATGTACCAGGAAGGATCTGCAAATTGCTGAATATGTTAAGACACTTCTCTCTAAACTTATTATCCTAAATATTCCTAGACACATTATCCTAAATATTCCTGTAATAAAACAGAATGACATTGATCAAAACCAAGTCTGATAAAAAAAATTTACAAAGATTGTTTATTCATAAACTTGTGGCAAGGGGATACTTCTGCTATATCTTTCATTTAAGTAAAGTTTCCAAAGTGTTAGGAAGGGAAGTACATGTTAGGATATAAAATGAGAAAACAGTCAGACTTACCTGATTGGCAAATGTTCTGTTAAGATGGGATTTTGGAAACTAGAGAGGCTTTCTAAATGGTATATTTTACAAGTATTGGTTGGCTGCAAGGGGGCAGTTGTGCAGTTTGGGGATGTTTCAAATGAGAGAAGTTTAATGTGGGGGGCAGAGGGTTTTCTGTAGCTGACTGTTTTCGGGAACAAGAGGGTATTAATGGGTGGTTTGTCATATCATAATGAATCTTATGGGCTGGTCAAAGAGAACTACCATGGCTGACAGTTTCTTAATAAAAATTAGTTAATATAAGAGAGTGTTAAATTAAATAAGTAATATAGTTTAGATGCACAGGAAGTTATTTTTGTTAAATTTAGTTAAAAGAGTACTGTAAATTCTAAATAGATGTGCAATTTCAGGCCAAAACAAATGTAATGGAGAAAAAAATTATGTGATGTCAAATAACAAAATTTCAACAATTTGGGTTTGACAATCTAATTGACTTTTATTAATTATTCATGAATTGGGCAGCATCTTATCTATAAAAATAGGAATGCACTTCATTGGATATAGCAGAACAGTCAGTTTTTGAAAGGTAGCTTGAGCAGAAACAAGTAAACAGCATATACATAAAAGCAGATTGGTTAACGTCAGGTTACTTTCCTAGTTAGGCAAGTTGAAGTAGAGGAGACTTCCTTATCACGCTGAGTCAGGATGACTGGCCCTTTTTCAGATGGTTTATGTGATTCTCTTGTTATTTTGGAAAAAAAAAAAAGCACTGTTTGGAGATTTTCCTGTTTTTTGCATGACAACATGAGTGGCTCCATTTCCCTTTGGTCTACTGGGGCCTATTGCAGGAGTTTAGTCCAAAACAATAGCCTTCTACAAATTTTATTTAATAGTTGTTAAGGTGTTTCATCATAATTATGATATATTGTGACAGGAAATTCATTATCTAGTTTTTTTTTGGAATTCTTCATTAGCCTAGTGCCAAAATAACTCTTTTCATTTGTCTTAGGCCAGATTTAACACAAAAAATATTTTGATATTAATTATTTAAACAAAACAAAGCAGTAATCAGTGGTCTTCCCCACCATCTGACTAAAAGAAGAGAATATTGTATTCAGTTTAAATGGACTTGTCATCTAACTTCCCCTATTTATAAGTCTTTGCTTTACAATTTGTTGTGGGAAGTCAAGGACCCCGAATGGAGGGACTGGGCCTGTGGCAGAGGAAAATAAATTGTGAAGATTTCATTTTAATGTGGACATATATCAGTTCCCAAATAATACTTTTATAATTTATTATATCTGTCTTTACTTCAATCTCTGAATGTAAATTGTGAAGATTTCATTTTAATATGGACATTTATCAGTTCCCAAAATTAATACTTTTATAATTTCTTATGCCTGTCTTTACTTTAATCTCTTAATCCTGTTATCTTCATAAGCCGAGAATGTACATCACCTCAGGACCACTATTGTGTTAACTGTACAAATTGATTATAAAACGTGTGTTTGAACAATATGAAATCAGTGCACCTTGAAAAAGAACAGAATAACAGTGATTTTCAGGGAACAAGGGGAGACAACCATAAGGTCTGACTGGCTGTGGGGTCGGGCAGAATAGAGCCATATTTCTCTTCTTGCTGAGAACCTATACATGGACATGCAAATGGGGAAGATATCGCTAAATTCTTTCCCTAGCAAGGAATATTAATAATTAAGACCCTGGGAAAGGAATGCATTCCTGTGGGGAGGTCTATAAATGGCCACTCTGGGAGTGTCTGTCTTATGTGGTTGAGATAAGGACTGAAATACACCCTGGTCTCCTACAGTACCCTCAGGCTTATTAGGCCTGGGAAAAAATCCCGCCCTGGTAAATTTGAGGTCATACCGGTTCTCTGCTCTTGAACCCTGTTTTCTGTTTTTTAAGATGTTTATCAAGACAATAAGCTGAACATAGACCCTTATCAGTAGTTCTGTTTTGCCTTTTGTCCTGTTTCCTCAGAAGCGTATGATCTTTGTTCTCCTTTTTGCCCTGTGAAGCATGTGAGCTTTGTGACCTACTCCCCATTCATACACACCTTCCCCTTTGGAAACCCTTAATAAAAACCTGCTGGTTTTGTGGCTCAGGTGGGCATCACGGTCCTACCAATATAGGATGTCACCCCCGAAGGCCTAGCTGTAATATTCCTCTCTTTGTACTCTTTTTCTTTATTTCTCAGCCGGCCAACACTTATGGAAAATAGAAAGAAACTACGTCGAAATATTGAGGAAAGGTTCTCCTGATAACACTTTGAAAAATGAGGCTAACAAAAGCATCTGCTAGACAGTGTGGATAGTAAGGTCTTAAGAAATATTACTGTGCTGATTGAATAAAATAATACATGTAAATGCAACTCACATAGCCCCAGGCCCATGGTAATGTCTCAGATGTTAAATTCCTTTCCACCTTCTTAGGGCATGCAGTAACAAGCAAATTTTAATCAAAACAATTATATTGAGTCTCTAATCAATAAACTTTTATTTAGCCTTTACCAGCCACCTGGAGATCTACTACTAGGTGTAATTGTATTTACAAAATGATCAAAACATTTGATATAGTTTTTAAAAGAGAAAATATTTTTCCCATTACTTTCTATCATACAAAAAATAAAAATGGTGTGTATGTGTGCGTGTGTGTGTGTTTAGTGTGAGCTCTAGGTGTTAAAATCTACCAACATTTATTGACCATTAAATAATACTAATTATATCTTTTTATTCTATTTTATGTAGGAGTTACTGGAAGAGCAAGAATAACTTATGCGGATTAACAATATGGAAACATCCTGAAACTACTTTGGAATTGCCATAAATTAAGTGGGTTCAAGTTTTGCAAACAGAGAAACGGGTCCATGAACAATTTGCTACAGGTAAGTGAGAGGTATAATTTCCTCCATTAGAATCCTTCAAAGATTCATTGACTATGAGGTTGTTAATTACATTTCAGACAATTATAATTCTCCTTTGCTACAGCTAACAGCTTCTTTTCCCTCCCGAATGTACACATGTGGATGCCGGCATATGGCTAAATGTCTGGCCATTTCATCTTGTTCATTTGGGCTTCAGTCAGTTACAAAAGGAGAAAGGAGGGGAAAAAGTTGCCACCTCATAAAACTTTTACCAGTAGTGATTTATGCAGAAGGGCGGGAGTCAAACTGTTTCTCGAACAGATGTTTCTGAGCACGACCCCAGGAGTTGAAAGAGTGGCAGATTGTCCTGCTTGGGATTCAGAAAGAAACAGGCAGACAAATGGTGATGCCCCGGCTCCTTTTCTTTGTAACTGGGGCAGTGGTTCAATCATTAATATGGAACAAAGTGTTTGGGAATGGTAGCTGGCTTTCGATTCTCTCTTTGAAAACCTGGGGAGATTGGAAAGCTTGATGTGGTCACAGCATGAAAATATTTTCTGTTGGGCTATTGGGAAAGTTGTACTTGTCTGAATGAACCAGTGGGGAAGGATGAAAGTATAAGTGACTCAAAACAAGTGGCAGTTTGTAAGCTGGAGGATTGGGTTGTGGCATCCTCTGTAGTTAATAATTGTTATACCATTAAAAGTCAAGGGGACTCACACCTATAAATGGAAGCCATCAGCTCTGCAAAATTGAAACAATCTCTTCTTTCATCTGTGGGGTTTCACTGTGTTAAGGGGAAAAAAAAGATCAAATTATAGTGACATTAAGCACATTGTAGAGGAGAAGTTTGTACTTTCCCTTTTACTGGCAAATACTGGAATTATTTGTGATGCTTTAAGGCATAAGTAAAATGGTATAAGTGGACTGGAAATGAAGGTAGAGGGTTTGCTCATGCATTTTCCTATTAATATTTAGCTCTCTCTCAGCTGCATTTATAAAAGCTATCTGTCCTGCATTCATAATTCATGATCCTCCCAGAAGATAACCTTTCCTTTCATCAACTCCATCACATTATGTAGATTAAGCTGAATGGAAGATATGTTCATCTATCTTCAGGGATATCACTTTGTTTGGAGAGTCACATAAGAACCTAGCTATGGAGGTGTTTGCAAGTGTGAACTGCTCTGTAAAGATGAGGAAGCAATGGTAAGGTAAACATAAGGTACCAACCACTGAAGATAAATATCAACCAACAAGAGAGAGAAGACTTGAATCTTTCTTTTTAAAAGCATATGTAATTGGCTTTTTCCTTGTCATAAAACTTAATATTTCTATTTATACACGGGGAAGGATGTATCCTTAGGCTCTTTTGTTTATTGAGAAGAAAGACTCATTTAGGTGACCCATGTAAAAAGGTAATTTTTCTGGCAACATGTGTGGGCTGGAACTGAAACCAAATTAAGAAGCAAGAATAAAAAAGAAAGGCAGTTCTAGAAGCTTCTTATATGCTTGTGTCATTCTTATGAGCAACAGGGACTTTAAACTTTGTGCAACTCTACTTCTCCTTGACTGTCTATTCATTTCTGTTCTTTTTTGTTAGATTATTTTTCTTACCCTTTTAATAATTGTTCCTCTTAAAATTTTGCCTTGCATATAGCCTATCATGGCCTCTGCAGCTGCTTTCCCTTTAACAGCTTCAGTTCCTGCTGCTAATTACCTGTGTGAATCAGGTTACATTCAGGAAACAGAAACCATACCATTTATTTTAATATGCAGAATTACCAAAGAGTAGTTAGCCAGTTATTGGCGAATAATAAAGGCAAAAAAACCACTGAGGAATCATAAAGATAGTAATTACAGGAAGTGTATATCCTGGATGCAGGGACAAAAGTAAGAGTCAGAGATTATTAGAATTTAGAATACTAGAGGAGGGGCTTTGAAGAAAAGGAATACAGGAGTCTTGGGTGAGGGCATTCCCCGAAAAATAGAGGGACTTTAGAAGCTCAGCAAGGACTCCACAGTGCTAAGAATCTTGCCTTTAGGGACTGGCTGCCAGCTGGGACTGTACCCCAGAAGCTCAGATTGGGGTACCCATGGAGCTGGGATGCAGAATTTTGTGGGGGATGGTACTCAGCCAGTGTTATAGCCTGAAAAACTAAAAAGGAATCCACAGGCAAAGCTGGAATTGCATCTCTGAGGAAGGGGTACTAGCCAGCTAGTGCTGTTTTATCATTCGCTTTTTTTTTTCTTCTGGAATTGTAGAAAAATGTACAAAACAGAACCAACTGCTTTGCAATGGCTACTGGAACCAACAGGGCGACATTGTCAGAAGCAGGAAGCACTTTCTTCTTCCCTTTCAAGCTTCTATTCTCCCTCTGTATCCCTGTATTGGCAAACAGGGAGCCAGGTGGCAAAGGAAAATATATGCTTTGCACTGACCCAGACCCAGCATCTCAAAGCAAGAGGAGGGTGGACTTGAACTGAGAGATCGTAATTTAATAACAAGCACACAGCCTATTCTGTGTGTGTTTATGTTTGTGTCCGTGTATGTGTGTCTGTGTCTTTCAATTTTCAAAAGAGAGAATATGATTGGCTCAATTCACCTGATCACTGAGATCATAGAATATGACTTAATTAAAATTTGCTGCACTTTTGGTCAAATGCCATTCCTGATTTAGTCAAATGGCATTGGATTGTGGGTTATGAGAGAATTCTGTAGAAAACACAGCCACTTAGGTAGCAGGGCTATAAACTGAATAGTATTCCTTAAAATCAACTAAGGACATTCATATGATTGCTGTGCAGTACAGGTACAAATATGTAGATGTCATATTGCTGATGACGGAATTTTTAATTCAACTTTTTTGTTTTTAAATAATTGTACATTCACATGTAGTTGTAAAAACAAACAAACAAACAAACAAAAAAAACCACAGAGATCCCTAGTGCCTGTTTCCTCTTTATACCCAGTGATAATATCTTGCAAAACTACATAGTACAATAGTATAACCAGAATATTGATATACTACAGTCAAAAACTACAGGCCATTTCTATCACCATAAGGAGCCCTCCTGTTGCTGTTTTCATAGCCACATCCACTTCACTCCTATCTCTAACTTTCCCCTTAAACACTGACAACTTCTAAACTGTTCCCTATTTCTGTAACTTTGTCATTACAAGAATGTTATTTAAATGTAATCACACAGTATGTGGCTTATGGGCATTGGCTGTTTTTACTCAGCATAATTCTCTGAAGATTAATCCAGGTCATTAATAGTTCATTTTTTTTCTACTGAGTAATATTTCTTGGTAAGGATATACCACAGTTTGTTTAGTTATTCACCTGTTGAAGGATGTCTTGGTTGCTTCCAGTTGGGGCTATTACAAAGAAAGTCACTATAGGTATTCATGTACAGACATTTTGTAAATATAAGTTTTTATTTTGAGGGGAAAAGTGGCTAAACATGCAATTCCTGGGTACTGTGGTAGTTGCATAATTAGTTTTTAAAATTAACTGCTGAAGAGTTTTCCAGATTAACTGTAACTTTTTACATTCCTGTCAGAAATGTACAAGTGATTCACTTTCTCAATAGCCTTGGTTGCATTTGTTGCTGTCATTATTTTTTATTTTAATTATCTTGATAGGTATGTCACAATAACTCCTTGCAGCTTTAATTTTCACTTTTATAATAACTAATGATGTTTGATATCATTTCATGCACTTATTTGCCATCTGTACATCCTTTTAACCAAAATAATATACAGTTCATGTATTTTATATATATAAAGTTCATATATTTTGCCCATTTTCTAATTGGATTTTTTGGGGTTCTTTTTACAGCTGCATTTTGAGATTTTTAAATATCTTCTGTATAATATTAAACATTATTAGATAGCTAGTCTGCAAATATTTTCTCTCCATCTATAGCTTGTCCTCTCATCCTCTTAAGTCTTTTACAGAACAAAAGACTTTAATTTTGATGAAGTCCCATTTATCAGTTTTGCGCTTTACGTCCATGCTATTAGTTTCCAATCTAAGAACTCTTTGCCTAGTTCTAGACTCCAAAGTTTATCTTCTGTTTTTTCCCAAAAGTTTTATAGTTTTATTTATTTATTAGTTATTAGTGCATAATCCATTTTGAATTAATTTTTATAAGGTATGAAACTGAAGTCAAATTTTATTGTATTGTCTGTGGCATTTGCTGGATGTCCATTTGCTCTCCTTGATATTAGCATCTAATGACTTTTTTTCCATTTCATTTAAAATCTCCCTGACTGTTAGTGTAATAAGTAGTTTGCAGTTGAAACCTAGACATTTTGGGTATGATATTATGAGATTCTGGATATTGTATAAACCTTCAGTTTTGGTTGGCTTTCTCCAATATTGCTCTAGTAGGGAAGTGGGAGTCGAATTAATGGCAGTTGGAGGTAGAAGCTCATGTTTCTTCACTTGCCCTTTGCTTATATATGAGTGGACAGGAGCTCTTTATTACTGCTGGCATGGATAGGACTTCCTGCTCCCATTAGACTTCCGTTGATGCCTCCCTGGCTGGGAGGAATAGGAATGCCCTGTAACTATTACCCATTTGTTCACCACTACACCATGCTGATGGGGGAAGTGGGGTTGGGTATTGATGTCATTATTCCGGGATGGTGGTGAAAGTCCTAACTCTCCTCTAAGCCTAGTTTGACACCATCCCAACATATAGGGATGGTACGGGCAGAAGTTCAGGATCCCTATTTTATTTCCACTGATGATACCAAGGGTGAAGCGTGGCCTGGTTACTGCTTGGCAGGGATGAATGTCCTGGCTTCTATGTGATCTTCTTTGACACTACCCTGATGGAAATTGGGGGGACCTTGTCATAGCCTGGTGAAGGTAGAAATGTAGAGTATTCATTAGGGCATTGATGGCCTAGGTGAGGATAAAGCCATACATTTTTCTCTTATGTATGGGTGGATGAATGTGTTAATAGTCTCAATTTTTTCTGTCTTTGCCCTATCCTTGTCCTTTGGC